GTAGCACATCTTGTAACGATGACCATACAAAGCGTACACAATGTAGCGTAGTTAGTAATGTTGACCATATGAAGTGTACAGAGTAGCACATCTTGTAACGATGACCATACAAAGCGTACACAATGCAGCTTTTAATGTGAAGTATGTAGAATAAGATGTACAACATTTTGATTTTTTCTTTTTTATTATTAAATATTTTTTTCAGTTGTAAATTTTTTTCTCAATAGAGTTCCCACTCCACAGAAACTTTACCACTAGGGGAACAGTCTCGTCAAGTGTTCACAGTGACAGGATTCTATAAAGTAAGTTAAGTGTTCCTTATGGATTTTATAAGTTAAGTAGATTTATGTTGTATTCTTCTCAGGTCTTATTGTGGTAATTTAAAGGTTAAACCTAGCACACGGGTAATCGCTCTCTGCGAAAAACTAGAAGGTTGAGGATCTTATTTGTAAAAACACAGGTGTAGTGATTTGTCACAGGTGAAATGAAAGAGACGAAACACGGCGTTGAGTATGTAGAAACACAGGTGTAGTGATTTGTCACAGGTGAAATGAAAGAGACGAAACACGGCGTTGAGTATGTGGAAACACAGGTGTAGTTATTTGTCACAGGTGAAATGAAAGGGACAACATAAGGCGTTGTGTATGGGAAAGGAAAGGCGCAGTAATTTGTCAAAGGTGAAATGAAAGAAACCAAATATGGCATTGAGTGTGTGGAAGGACAGGTGTAGTTATTTGTCACAGTTGAAATGAAAGAGACAAGACACGACATTTTGTATGTGGAAGGACGAGTGCAGTGATTTGTCTCAGGTGAAATGAAATAGATAACATAAGACGTTGGGTGTGTAGAAGGACGGGTGTAGTGATTTATTACAGGTGAAATGAAAGAAACAAAACACAGCGTTCACTATGGGAAAAACACATGTAGTGTTTTGTCACAGGTAAAATTAAAGAGACAAAACACGGCATTGAGTATATGAAAGTACAGGGACAGTGATTTGTCACATGTGAAATGAAAAAGACAACATAAGGCGTTGAGTATGTGGAAGGACAGGCGTAGTGATTTGTTATCTGGTTTTTAATATATTTGACATTATAATATACAACTATTAGAATTGACTGTTTTTGGTAATTGCACTTCTAGTATACACTGGTGTGCTGAAGTTTTGCTAAACGATAAGCTTTTATTGTAACATACGACGTTTGTTTCGATAGGGAACAATGGTTGCCATCAAACCAATTAATAAATTCAGAGTCGAAGTACACCGCCAGTTACTGCTGGAGCTAAAAAGGGTGAGTGTGTGAAAACTTTTTTCTCATTGCAGTAAAAATATCTGTATAATAAAATTATCTATTACTCACTTAGAGAATGATAAGGGTAAAAGTCTAGAGTGAAAAATTAGTATTAGTATTTTTTAGTTGATTAAAAATTTAAGAAAAGTGTGTGTGTGTTTTTGAATTTCGCGCAAAGCTACACGAGGGCTATCTGCGCTAGCCGTCCCTAATTTAGCAGTGTAAGACTAGAGGGAAGGCAACTAGTCATCACCACCCACCACCAACTCTTGGGCTACTGAGAAAAGTGTTATGTTTGGATATAATTCAAATCTTTTCAGCAATAAAATTGATAAAAAGATATCCAGGTGAAATCAACGTAAACATTCATTTGTTATACTAAAACTGTAGCTATTTTTTCACTTTTCATGTTAAGTTTTCTAAAAATCAGATAGATATTAGGTGCTTAAAATAATATGTTAAGGTATTTGTCACTTAATAAATAGTTCATTTTTTAAAGGTTTTTGGGGTACTCATGCATTTATTAGAATCAAAATATGAAGACCTGATTATTGAACTTTAGCTAATCTTGTTTTTTTTTTTTACAGGAACGATATGCTTATGCAATAACAGTCCCTAAACGCAGTATAAATACTAAATAATTTTTTTCAGTTAATTTCTTCATCAAATCATAAACAATTGTGAGCTCAAATCTTTTCGTTTTTGTTCTAATAGAATATATTGAGTCATCATACACTGAAATTATTTGCCAAACATTTATCGGAAACATTATTTCTACAGATAAAAGATCTTCAACATGATCATTTGGTCCGATTTATAGGCGCGTGCGTTGACCCACCATTCTGCTGTCTAGTGACAGAATATTGTCCAAGAGGAAGTCTTCAGGTGTGTGACCAAATCTAGGCTATTTATCCCTGTCTTTGTTTATTAAGTTTTTGAATGTTTGTATATTTTTTTAATTTCAACAAACTTTGAAGTCATTCCTGAAATATTTCTCAGAACATTTCCGTTTACTCACAGCTGTTTTAATTATATTAATCTGATAATTATGAAAAAAACAGAATACCAAAGAATCAAAAGAGTAACAGTTTAGTGAGATAATCTTTTCTTCTTTAGAAATGAGATGAAACTAAATTCTAACTTCGTTGATTTCACATTTTTGTTGCAAAATCAAGTGTTTTAAACTTTCTATATACATTACTTTTATTTTTTTGAAATTTTATTATGTGAATCGCTTTGTAACTTTGAAATAATGATTATAAATATTTTACATTTAACAAAAATTATGTTCAGAAAGCAAAAAGTGTGGAACTTTGTAATCTGTATTGCAGGATGTACTGGAGAATGACCAGATTCAGCTGGACTGGATGTTTAGATACTCACTGATGCACGACTTGATCAAAGTAAGTTTGTTTGTGATGAATTTCGCGCAAAGTTACACGAGGCCTATCTGCGCTAGTCGTTCCTAATTTAGCAGTGTAAGACTAGCAGGAAGGCAGCTAGTCATCACCACCCACCGTAACTCTTGGG